AATTTATTTCTGAAAGAGCAGCATTAAACAAGCAGTACTAGTAAATGAATTTTACTAATCATTCAAATAAAATACCAAAGTTTTAAATCTCAAGTCTTACAGTTTTGTTTACTTAAATTGAAAAAAGAAACTTTATATTTTAAACACATACTATTAGTCCTATAATATTTAATTTGAAATTTAAAAAAAAAGCAGATAAAGGAAACAAACAAAAGAAGTAAGAAATATAAAACTAAGAATACATTTGCAAGCTTTCATTAAATTAGGCTTTCATAAAACCAGAAATTGATGTTTAAAGGAATTTTTTTACTTAATTGTATTAATCAAACTAACCTTATTTATTTGCAGCTTTGTTTAAATGTAAGCTTAATATGTTTAAATTCTCAGCTTGTATTCTTCTTGTATTGCTTAATGAAAGTCTGTTTTTTTTCGTAATTTACTAGAAAATTAACTAGTTAAGGAAATTAACTAACTTTGGTTCAACTATAGGTTGTTATAGATTTAAGCTTAACTAGTTTCAAAGAAAATACTTAAATAATTTACAACAAAGCAGTTTATTATTTTGTAAGTTAATCCTATTTTGACACATCACTACTTTATTTCCCTAAAGCTTTTAATTTACCTAAAGCAAATATAGTTTTAAAAAAACGATGATTAGTTTGCTATTCTTCTATTAATTGTTTGAATACATTAAAGGATTAAATAAATTTCTGTTTTCGTTCAATTTAATTATTTGTATTTAAAGTTAGTGAAAAGATTATCAAATACTAGACAATGTATTTTATTTAATTTAAACTCAAATAATTAAATATTGGCCTAAGTTTAGTATTATAAAACTATATTTGTAATAACTAACAGAGTAAACATAATTTTGCAATAATTAAAGAAACACATATATTTTTAGAACATATTCTCAAATAAGAGAATATTAGATTGGATCGAATGTAAATTTCAACGTTAAAAAATCAGGAATCAACTTTTCTGCCCAAAAATTTTAATACTTTTCCGTAAAGAAAATGGAAGGAATAAATTTAAACTAAACGTACATTATAAAAAAGCACAAAAAAATTTTTAATGATTTTTTAGAGATGGAAAAGTAACGGTATCAACTCAGAGTAGTAAGGTTTGAATTTATTTTATGAAAGAAATCCCTTTCCAGGAATGATTGAAAAAATAACACTTTTCTTCTGCAATTGAACATGTTCTTTTATCAGATTTTGCAAATTTTTTTTTACAAATTTTCTATATTGTAATCAGTAATCACCCCACCTTATATATAGTTTTGAAATCATTTTTATAGATGTGGTAAAACCAATGAATATAGAAAGGAAAAGTTCAGCTCTCCAAATACGTTTACGAACGCGGGGAAGTGCTCAGTGCGGATGTCATACCATAAAAACAATTTAAGAGACAGCAACATGCTCAGATTTAACAAAAAATTATATGTACATGTTCAGCACATGCGCATGACCATCAAATTAACCATCAGGATCCATGTCACATGAACTGATTATCGGTTGGTGCGATGCCTCCCGCCAATCGCCATATTAATCTTTCGTTCAATTTCATAACCTGCTGGCAGATATGATCAACATGGATGATAGAACTGTAATCTAAAATAAATATTTCAATAAACAGTTCAGTATTTTTAATAAATAGTGCAAAAATGAAGCAACTGACCAACCATAAAAAATAATAAAAAATATTCCCTCTCCTTCCCAAACCAAGAAGTGGTCGGGGGAAGAGGTAGGTGTAAACCCGTTTTTAGATAAGCCTCTGCTGGGCACCTAAAATTTGTTTTTTTTTCTTCTTCTTTTCATTCAGGAACCGTGCCAACCTATAGAGAGAAAGTTTATATTACGTCTATGGAAGCTGGCCTTCTTCCGCTGTGCATATTATTTGGTGAAACAGTCAACACATAATATATATATATATATATATATATTTTATTATTATTT